CTCCGGGTCCAGGTCGCTGGCCAGGGACACGTCGTCCTCTTCGTCGTGATCCGACACGTAAATGTCGTCGTCCCCAGGGCCGATCTCCAGCAGGGCGTCGGCCGAGGCCATGTCCCCGCGGGACAGCTCATCCAGCAGCTGTGACACAGCTCACAGAGTCACACAGGTGACACAAGTGACAAGCCAGGCCCTGTCTCACCCCGCTGTCCCCAGGAGCTCCCCACCCACCGGGGTCCTGTGGATGCTCTTCAAGGAGAACATGCTGGTGTCACCATCGTCAGCGATGGACACTCCAGGCAGGTCCATCTGCAGCTCCACACGCTCCCGCTGCTTCCTCTGCTCCTTCAGGATCTTCTTCTTCTTCCTGGAGGAGGCAAAGGAATGAGACCACACTGTCCCCACCACACACAAACACCCCACAAGCTCAGCCCCTGCCACAGCACTGCCAACCCCCTCTGAGGGGTCCCCAGTGCTCGGGCAGCCTGGAACACCTGCTTGGAGGAGCAGAGGAGCCCAGCGACCCCAAACCCCCTCAGCAGAGGGACAGGCTGACACTGCCACCCTCTGTCTCCATGACTGCAAGCCTATTTCTCTTCTCCTTTCTACCTCTTCAGCTCCGCCAGCTCCTTGGCCTTAATCTCTGCCAAGGCCAGCTCCACCTCCTCTTGCTCCTTCGCCTCTTCAGCAGCTGCAGCTTTCGCCTCCATCTTCTCCTTCTTCTCCTCCTCCCTGCCCTCTTCCTCCTCACCAGAGCTCAGGCTGCCAAAAGGAAGGAGCTCAGAGGAGCTGTGCTGGGGACAGCCCACCCCAGCCCGGGGACAGCCCATCCCCAGCCCGGGGACAGCCCGGGGACAGCCCATCCCCAGCCCGGGGACAGCCCACCCCAGCCCGGGGACAGCCCATCCCAGCCCGGGGACAGCCCGCCCCAGCCCGGGGACAGCCCGCCCCAGCCCGGGGACAGCCCGCCCCAGCCCGGGGACAGCCCATCACAGCCCGGGGACAGCCCGCCCCAGCCCGGGGACAGCCCGGGGACAGCCCGCCCCAGCCCGGGGACAGCCCACCCCGGCCCGGGGACAGCCCATCCCAGCCCGGGGACAGCCCTGCTCCCTGGCCCTACTTGATATCCAGCTCCTTCGCCTGCTCCTTCAGCTTCTTGGCCAGAAACCGCCGCAGCTTTGTCCTCCAGTTGAGCAGGGCCCTGGGTGGGGTGGCAGCGGTTAGGGACAGCCAGCAGGGCGGGCTGGGGGGTGTGGCTGTCCCAGTGTCCCCCAGCACCTGAGCTCCTTGCGGCCCAGCACTCGGATGTCCCTGCAGCACTGGCGCAGCTCCTCCGTGGTGGAGCTGTGATTCTCCAGTTCCCCGTTCCCCAGAGTGATCTGGCACAAGGAAAGTGATTTAAATTTGAATCCCAGCCTCCCCTCCGCAGGACAGGGACAGGGAGTCCTTACACACACTCACCTCGTTGGCCTTGGAGAGGAAGTCCACGGGGTTGGGAGCCTTGAGGAAGTCCATGAGGGTGAAGCGGTGGTACAGAGTGGTGTCACCCTCGGCGTAGCCTTCAGCCTGGGGGGAAAAGGGGCTGTGGCAGCCAGGGCAGGGGACAGACAGGCAGATACCACCAGCCCTGAATGGTGGATGGGGTCACCCAACTTGTGCCTTGCTGCAGTGGCCATCTAACTGTGCCTGTAGCTTGTTCTCAAGGATTTCAGAGATTGTTTCCCACCTCAGCCTGAGCTAGAAGTCGCCCGCCCCAGCCCAGCAGCAGCTCCCAGCCTCACCTCAGACACCAGAGCTGACAATGCCAGGTTTGTGTCAGCTCCATGCTCAGCTAAAACCACCTAGCACAGACTGACTGACCTAAATCCACCTCAGAGACACAAACCCGGTGCTCAACCCCTGTAGGGTTTAACTGCCCCAGTCCCAGCCCCACAATCCCCCACTTCAGCAATTCCGCTCCCAAAATCTTGCGTTCTCCTGAATAATTTTAATTCTCACAACCTCTTTAAGCCCAGTCCCATCTGTATCTGGCCTTCCTCATACCTTGGGCTTCTTTTTGCTGACCAGCTCACTGACAGACTTGGTGGCAACCTCCACATCCTTGAAGGCATATTTGGGGTCAAAAAACTTGCTGTCAATTTTGTCTGGAGCTTGATAACCTGGGATGGAGAGATGAGAGCCATGAGAGACATTTCTCTGGGACAGAGGGATCGGAGCCAGCCAGAATGGAGGAATCAGAGCCACTCCTGCTGGGATGGAGGAATCAGAGCTACTTCTCTGGGGAGAGGACTCAGAGACATTCCACTGTCCCAGGAGGAATCAGATCCATTGAAAGCATTCCTCCTGGGATGGAGTAATCACAGCCATCAGAGCCATTCCTCCCAGGATGAAGGCATCAAAACCATTCCTGCTGCGGTGGAGGGATCAGAGCCACCAGCAGGTCCTCCCAGCCCCATCCCAGCCACTCCAGGTGCCCCTGGCTGCTCACCCTGGCACACCACAAAGATCTCGGCAGACTCGTTGCGGGAGGCCTGGGGCTTGGTGGCCTGGACCTTCTGGAAGAACTGCTGGAAGATCCAGAGCAGAGACTGGTAATCCCGGGAACGGAAAACCTTGGTGATGAACCAGCCACCCTTGCACAGGAACTCACAGGCCAGCTTCAGGGCCATGAGGGTCAGGTTGGCTGCAGCAGGAGAGAGCAGGGAGTGAGGGAATGACCCTTCCCTGGGAGAGTGGGGACAGGCTGGAATGGGTTTCCCAGAGGAGTCGTGGCTGCCCCACCCCCAAGGCCCGGTTGGACGGGGCGTGGAGCACTCTGTGACAGGGAAAGGTGTCCCAGCCCGTGGCTGGGGCTGGCACTGAGTGGGCTATAAGGTCCCTCCCACCCCCCAGCAGCCTGGGACCCTGTAAGAGCAGTGAGCTGTCCCTGTGTGCCCACCCTGCGAGTAGGCGTCGTGCACCCAGCTGGCTCCCACGTTGGGCGCTCCATCGTTCAGCACCACGTCCACCTTCCACGTCTGCAGCTCCTTGCGCAGGGCCTGTGGGACAGGGACACCCGTTTGTCCCTCTCTGAGGACCCCAGCCCATCCCGTGACCCCCCTGCCACCAAGGGCAGCCCCAGGCCAGTACCTGGCGGCACTTCTCGGTGGTGATGTCCTCCTGCAGCGTCACCACGTTGGGAATGGGCTTGATGGGCACCAAATCCACCCCTGGTTGAACAAACACAGCAAATCCCCTCAAAAGGGACCCAGCCCATCCCAAGTGGCTTCCCCACCAGCCCCTCCTCCTCCCTGGATGCCCTTTGTCACACCCAGGGGCTGTCCCAGCTGTGGGGACACATCACTGCTCACCGATGATCAGGCTGGACACCGGCATGAACTTGGACGCCACCTGAAGCCTGGGCAGCACAGAGAGGAGCAAAGCTGCAGCAGCAGCCCAGGGCAGCTCAGCCAGGCTGCGCTCCCAGGGCTCGGTGTGCAGCACGGGGACACTGCAGGGTCACACAGGACAGGCCCCCGGCGCTGGTGGCACTGGGGGTGGCTGTCCCCACTCACCAGCCGCCGGGGGCCGCACACAGGTCCAGCAAGGCCCGGGCCTTCTGCAGGAACTGGAACTTGCGATTGAGCTGCAGCAGCTTGAAGGAGGAGCGGGAGCGGAAGCCTGGGGGGCAGCGGGAGGGCGGTTCTGGGGGTGCCCGGGCCCACAGCCCCCTGCCCCCAGCGCCAGACTCGGCCCTCACCCGTCTCCTTGGCCAGGTGGTAGAACTTGTCCCGCCGGCTCTTGCCCAGTTTGCTTTTCTTGCCCATGGCGGAGGCGGGGCGGCCCCTCGGGGCTGGGATGTGCTGCCAGCCGAGGGCTCAGGCCTGGGGAGGGGGAAGCGGGGCTGAGGGGCGGCCTGGGCTCCCGAGGCACTGCAGGGGAGCCCGGCCTCCTTCGGGGCCCCCTCCGCGCCCCGAGTCTCTCCAGCTCTCTCTCAGTGGTCCCGTTACCCCTCCCAGTGCCCCTCCGGTTCCTCCCTCACTGCCCTCCCAGGCCCCGTCACTGCTCCCGGCGCTGCCCCTCAGGCCCAGCCCAGGCGCGTTTCGGCCCCGCTGACCCCTGAGGCCTCGGATCACCCGGGCTCCACACCCCGAACCCTGACACCCCCGAACCCCCATCCCCAGCCCGAGCCCCCGGACACCGACCCGATCCCGGTCCATACCCCGATCCCAATCCACACCCCAATCCCGATCCACACCCCGATCCCGATCCACACCCCAATCCAGACCCAGACCCAGACCCCGATCCAGACCCCGATCCCGGTCCACACCCCGATCCAGACCCAGACCCCGATCCCGATCCACACCCCGATCCAGACCCAGACCCCAATCCCGATCCACACCCCGATCCCAATCCACACCCCAATCCCGATCCAGACCCCGATCCCGACCCACACCCAGATCCCGATCCACACCCCGATCCAGACCCAGACCCAGACCCCGATCCCAATCCAGACCCCGATCCCGATCCACACCCCGATCCCAATCCACACCCCGATCCAGACCCAGACCCCGACCCCGATCCAGACCCAGACCCCGATCCAGCCCCACACCCCGATCCCGACCCACACCCCGATCCCAGACCCACACCCCGATCCCAGACCCACACCCCGATCCAGACCCACACCCCGTTCCACACCCCGATCCCGCTCCTGCTCCTGCTCCGGTTCCCGCTCCCGGTCCCGGTCCCGGTCCCGCCGCGTGCCCGCACCGCCTTCCCGGCGTGCCCTGCGCGAACCCCTCAGCTTCCGCTTCCTCCCGCTCCGGCCGCCATTTCAGGAGTGGCGCGCCCCTCCTCCGCAGCCTGCGGGCGGCAGAAGGGGAAGGAGAGCGGCCAGCTCGGAGGTGCGGGACACAGCACCGGGCCCGCTCGGTGCCGCGGTCACCGCCTGTCCTTCCCCTCCGGCGCTTTCCCGCACGGACACACACCTCTGACCGCTCCAGGCTGGCGGCGCAGTCCCGACACGAGGGTCCCGCACTGCGCATGCGCACTGTGCACCGCGGTGTTCCGGAACAGGAAGTGACGCACAGGCCGCGGCGCCATCTCCGGTGGGGCCGATGCCGACGGAGAAGATGGCGCTGGACGGGCCCGAGCAGGTGCGGCCGGCGGGACCGGGCGGGGCAACGGCGGGGCTGGGGAGGGACGCGGGCGCGTCCTGCTGCCCGAGCGGTGTGCTGCGGCCGCGGCTGCTCGGGGCCGGCAGCGCCGTGACTCGGCGGGTCTCGGAAGGCGGCGGAGCCTGAGCAGCGGGACGGGACCGGGATGGGATCGGGACCGGGACCGGGATCAGAATGGGACCGGGATGGGATCGGGATCGGGATCGGGATCGGGATGGGACCGGGATCGGGATCAGGATGGGATCGGGATCCGGATGGGACCGGGACCGGGCCCGGGGCACTCGCAGGGAGCGGGAGCCGGGGCTGCTGGGGGCACATCGGGACACGAGGGACCCGGGCTCGGCTGGGGGGTGCCGGGCAGGGGAGGGACACTCGGCACCGGGACGGGGCAAAGGGGGAGCCAGGGCCCGGCGGGGCGCGGGGGTGCCGGTGGTCGCTCAGCTCTGCTGCCCCAGATGGAGATGGACGACGGCAAGGGCGGCTCGGGGCTCCGGCAGTATTACCTGTCCAAGATCGAGGAGCTGCAGGTGAGCACAGCCGCGGGGCACACCGGGCCGGTGCCGCGGTGCTGCCGGCCGGGACTGTGGCCGTGTCCCTGCCCCTGGGGCGCTGGGGACACGAGGTGGGGCTGTGCCCTGAGCTGGCTCTGGCTGAGGGGCTGCTCCTGTCCCAGCTGCCAGAGGGCAGGGATGGATGGGATATTGAGATGGAATTGTTCCCTGTGAGGGCAGGGAGTCCCTGGCACAGGTGCCCAGAGCAGCTGTGGTGCCCCTGGAGCCCTGGAAGTGCCTAAGGCCAGGTTGGAGGGGGCTTGGAGCAGCCTGGGACAGGGGAAGGTTTCCCTGCCATGGCAGGGGTGGGATGAGATGAACTCTAAAATCTTTTCCGATGCAAACCCTTCCATAATTCCCACGTGCTGGATGTGGCTGAGCCCGAGGCTTCTCAGCAAAGCCTTTCCCTTCAGCTCATCGTGAATGAGAAGAGCCAGAACCTGCGGCGGCTGCAGGCGCAGAGGAACGAGCTCAATGCCAAAGGTACGGCCTGGAGCAACTCCGCTCTCCTGGGCCGGGCCTGGGGGCTCTGGGGGGGCTCTGGGCCGGGCCTGGGGGCTCTGGGCTGGGTCTGGGGGGCTCTGGGCCGGGCCTGGGGGGCTTTGGGGAGGCTCTGGGCTGGGCCTGGGGGGCTCTGGGCCGGGCCTGGGGGGCTTTGGGGGGGCTCTGGGCCGGGCCTGGGGGCTCTGGGGGGGCTCTGGGCCGGGCCTGGGGGGCTCTCGGGGGGCTCTGGGCCGGGCCTGGGGGCTCTGGGCCGGGCCTGGGGGCTCTGGGCCGGGCCTGGGGGCTCTGGGCCGGGCCTGGGGGCTCTGGGCCGGGCCTGGGGGCTCTGGGGGGGCTCTGGGCCGGGCCTGGGGGCTCTGGGCCCGGGGGTGTGGCAGCCCTCAGGCCCAGGGCTGATGCTGAGCTGTCCCTGCCCCAGTGCGGCTGCTGCGGGAGGAGCTGCAGCTGCTGCAGGAGCAGGGGTCCTACGTGGGAGAGGTGGTGAGAGCCATGGACAAGAAGAAGGTGCTGGTCAAGGTACGAGGCTGAGCTGCCCCCAGGTGCCGGGGCTGGGCTGGGGCTGTGGGACAGCCCCGTGTACCCACAGGGACGTGGGGTGGGAGCTCCTTTTGCAGAGCTCTTTGGGGTGGCTCTGCTGGGCCTGGGGCTGCCCTGGGGTGGCCAGTGGGGTTGGAGCTCCTGGCTCCTGCTCCTCCCAGGCCAAGGGGATGTTCCTCAGCAAGGAATTCCCAGCAAAAGAACTCCCGGGGGTCTTTGCTCCTTTACAGGTGCACCCAGAGGGGAAGTTTGTGGTGGATGTGGACAAGAACATCGACATCAATGATGTGAGTGCCCCCGGGGCTCTGGGGGTCCCCAGGGCTGGCAGGGACACCCAGCCCCCCGTGCTGTCCCCACAGGTGACCCCCAACTGCCGCGTGGCCCTGCGCAACGACAGCTACACCCTGCACAAGATCCTGCCCAACAAGGTGGACCCGCTCGTGTCCCTCATGATGGTGGAGAAGGTCCCAGACTCCACCTACGAGATGATCGGGGGCCTGGACAAGCAGATCAAGGAGATCAAGGAGGTGATCGAGCTGCCCGTGAAGCACCCGGAGCTGTTCGAGGCGCTGGGCATCGCCCAGCCCAAGGCAAGTTTGGGGAGCTCTGGGGAACTCTGGGGAGCTCTGGGCCGCGCCCTGTCCCCCGGCGGGCTCTGAGGGCAGCGTGGCCCTTGCAGGGGGTGCTGCTCTACGGCCCCCCCGGCACGGGGAAGACGCTGCTGGCCAGGGCCGTGGCCCACCACACCGACTGCACCTTCATCCGCGTGTCGGGCTCTGAGCTGGTGCAGAAGTTCATCGGGGAAGGTAACGGGGCGGGGGCGGCTCTGGGGCTCCTCGGGGCCGGCCGGGCTGGGGGCCAGGCTGAGCCCGCTGCCCGCAGGGGCCCGCATGGTGCGGGAGCTGTTCGTGATGGCGCGGGAGCACGCGCCCTCCATCATCTTCATGGACGAGATCGACTCCATCGGCTCCTCCCGCCTGGAGGGCGGCTCCGGCGGCGACAGCGAGGTGCAGCGCACCATGCTCGAGCTCCTCAACCAGCTCGACGGCTTCGAGGCCACCAAGAACATCAAGGTAGAGGGGCCGGCCCTGCCCGGGTCCTGCCAGCCCCGCGGTGCGCAGGGTGGTGACACGGCTGTCCCCTGTGCAGGTGATCATGGCCACCAACAGGATCGACATCCTGGACTCGGCCCTGCTGCGCCCCGGCCGCATCGACAGGAAAATCGAGTTCCCCCCTCCCAACGAGGAGGTACCAGAGCCACCCCCAGCCGGCCCTGTCCCTGCTGTCCCCACCCTCCCTGGGAGCCATTCCTGGGCTCCAACCCGCCCTGGGAGCCATTCCTGGGCTCCAATCCCCTCTTTGCCCTGCTCCAGGCCCGCCTGGACATCCTCAAGATCCACTCCCGGAAGATGAACCTGACCCGGGGCATCAACCTGCGGAAAATCGCGGAGCTGATGCCGGGGGCCTCGGGGGCTGAGGTGAAGGTGAGCGGGGGACTCTGGGGACAGGGGGGCTGCCAAGGGGGCACTGGCTGATGCTCCCCTGCCGTCCCCTCAGGGTGTGTGCACAGAGGCAGGGATGTATGCACTGAGGGAGAGGAGAGTGCACGTCACACAGGAGGACTTCGAGATGGCCGTGGCCAAGGTGGGTGCCAGGGGAGGTGACAGCGGGGGCTGATGGCGGCACACAGTGTCCTGGTTTGCCAGGAGCACAAACAAGGGGGGTGTCACCGTGTGAGTGACATGGGAGAGGCTGCTGCACCTTCCCTGTGCAGGGCTGACACTCGGTCTTGGGGTGTTTTTGGGGTAATTAACACCCAATTTGGACGCTGAATGTTGGAGCCACCCCTGTCCCCTCCCCCAGGTGATGCAGAAGGACAGTGAGAAGAACATGTCTATTAAGAAGCTGTGGAAGTAACGGTGAGGCTGGAGCTGCTCCCTCCCTCGGTGCTGTCAGTAAAGAGCTGCTGTGGCCAGGCCCAGCACTGAGCTGGGGACTGGTTTGGGGATGGGGTGGGGGCTGCAGGACACAGCACACATCCCACAGAGCTGCTGCTGACTGCTTTTATTAGAAAAGATCCAAAATAGACAAAAACTGGTTACACAAGAGGCAGAGCAGGAACCCCTGAGCCCAACCCTGGGAATGTAAATGCCCCCCCACCTCGGAGCCTGCAGGGGGGCAAAGGCACTTCAGTGGGGTGTCCCCATGGTCCCCTCCCTCCTCCCCAGTATCTCCAGTTCTTGGTGCCCCTCTGCCCCCAAACCTCGTCAAGACAAGTGGTTAATTATGGAATTATGTAAAACAGTGGGAAAGGGGGAAGGAATAAACTGATTGTCACAAACTGAACCCCAGCCCTCGGTTCCGTATCCCCAGAGCAGCCCTGGGAGCCTTCCTGAGCCCCTGCAGGAGCCCAGTGCAGGAAGAGGAACTCAATCAATATATTAATTAATTAATCAAATACAAACCCACTGTACAAAACGCTGGCTTTTTTTTTGTTTTTTTCGTGGTTTTTTTGGTTTTTTTTATATAAAACCTGTTCACAAAAATAGTGCAAAACATCGGGGGCAGCTGGCGTTGGAATGATGAACTTTGGTTGAAGAGGGGCAGGGCGGGGCTCGGGGTGGGGCTGGCAGCAGCTCCCCACGGACACGGGCAGCGCTCCGCGGCTCCCGGGGGGATTTTGGAACGGGAGGGGAGCGGGGAGCCCGCGGGGCTGCGCGGGGAGGGCGCGATGCAAAGCGGAGGAGGCGCTGCGGGGGCCTGGGGGAGCGGGGGGGACTCCGCTGTGCTCGGCCCGAGGATCCGGGGAGTCCCGGGGAGCTCCGGTCCCTTCAGGCACGTCGGGTTTGTGCAAGTGCTGTGGCTTCCAGTCGGTACCGTGCGGCTCGGGCAGCTCCGGCCCGCCCGCCTTAGGTCAGGCGGATCCCGAGCACTTGTTCCAGTTCCTGCCGGCGCTGCTGCACCTGCGGGCACCGCGGTGCTCAGCGAGGGACAGCGACGCTGCCCGGGCTCCCGGGGCTCTGTCACGGCCATCCCAACTCCGTCCCATCCCACCCCGAGCTCACCTTGGCAAAGATGTGTCTGCCCACGGCCTCCTGCGCCCAGGGCTGTTGGTAAAACTCGGCCCGCCGCTCCTCCTCGGGGTTCCCGATCACATCCGTGATGATCTGACCCAAAGGGGAGGGATGCAGAGGGACCAGACCCCTCCGTGAGCTCCAGGAGGGACCCAGACCCCTCCCAGCCCCCCACTCTGCCCAGCCCCAGGGCTTAAGAATCATGGAATTGTTAGGGTTGGCAAAAGACCTTCAACCCTTACCCCAAACCACTGAGCCATGTCCCCAAGGGGCCACATCCCTGGTTCTGAACCCCTCCAAGGACGGGGACTCCACCACTGCCCTCAGCAGCTGTGCCAGTGCTGGACAACCCCTTCCAGGAAGAAACTTTTCCCAATATCCAACCTAAACCTCCCTGGCAATTGTTCCCCTTTACCTTGAGGTCCCTCCTCTGGGATTTGATCCATTCCTGGATGAAATCCTGGGGGTTGTTGCTGAAGCTCAGCATGAAATCCCTCTGTGTCTTCAGCTGGTTGATGGACTCGATGGTCTCGTGGATCTGGGCAGGTGACAGGGGTCAGAGGAGCTGTGCTGCCCCCCAGGACACGGCTGCCCCCCGGCAGTGTCCCCTCCCACCTTGGCATCCAGGGAGGCGATTTCCTGCTGGTTGGTGGTGGAGGCCAGGAAATTGCTCATCTGGGCTTTGAGGGGATCATCCACCTCCACGTCGATGTCATAGCAGGCTGTCTTCTTCTGGTCATTGGGATCCACACTGGGGGAATGGGGTTGGGGGGACCTGCTGAGCCCCCGCCTGGCTGGGGGTGCATGGACCCCCAACAACAACACCAGTACCCCAGGAAGCCTCAAATTCGGTGGTTCTTCCCCTCCCAGGCGACTTGTGCTGGTCTTTCAGGATGGAGACCTCAAAGCCTCCTGTGGCCCCAGCCCAGGGAGCCCCCCAGCCCTGGGGACACTGCTTGGCCCAGGGAGCCCCCCAGAGCCCCCCAGCCCTGGGGACACTGCTTAGCCCACGGAGCCCCCCAGCCCTGGGGACACTGCTTGGCCCACGGAGCCCCCCAGCCCTGGGGACACTGCTTGGCCCACGGAGCCCCCCAGCCCTGGGGACACTGCTTGGCTCAGTCCCCAACCCACTGAGCCCCGCCAGTCCCAGGGACACTCCCCATCCCATGGAGCCCCTTCAGCCCTGGAACCATTGCCCACCTTGCCCACCCAGTGCCCACCCAGAGCCCCCCAGGGCCGTGCCCACGCTGTGCCCCACCTGATGGTGTGGTTGATGATGATGGGGTCCGGGTGCTGCAGGAGCCCTGCCAGCTTCATGGGGATCTCGGAGAAGCGCATGCGGACACAGTTGAAGATCTAGGGGGTGAAGCAGAGCCTTTGGCACGCATGGCAGGGTCTTCCCTCACCTGTGCAGCCAGGTGGGGCATCCCCAAGCTGCTGGTGCGAGCCAGAGCCCAGGGAAGGGCACAACCAGGGTCTGGAAGGGCTGTGGAAGCTGGTGAGAGGCTTTTCCCAGCTGGGTGAGGTGGGAGTGTGCAGGTACCTGGCGGAAGTAGCGGTTGCAGTTGATGAACTCCTTCTCGTGGCTGTCCTGCAGTTTGTTGTGTTTGATGTAGAGCCACAGGGCCTGCATGATGCTGGCCCTGGTCTGGGTGTGCACCCCCAGCAGCCGGGCCAGCCGTGGGTCCAGCTTGTACTGGGGGGGCTGTGGGGACAGTGGGGTCAGCCACGGAAGCAGCCAGGCCAGAAAACCCCCTCAGAGCAGAGCCCAGCCTGACCCACCCTGTCCTGTCCCCAGCCCGGAGCACCGAGCGCTCCTGGGACACCGGGAGGGATGGGGACTCCAGCACTCTGGCCAGCTTGTCCCAGTTTTTAACTCCCTTTCCCAGAGCTCCCTGTGCACCTTTCGATCCCTGCATGCCCCAAATCTTCATCCAAGGTCCTGTCCCAGTTTTTAACTACCTTTCCACAGAGGAATTCCTCCTGCTGTCCAAAGGAGAGGGAGAGGGGGGCCTCTGGAGTCCCCCACAGCCCCTGTGTCACTGCAGGTCCATGCCTGGAGCTCCCCGTGCTCCTTTCAATCCCTACATGCCCAAACCCTCACCTGAAGCCCTGTCCCAGCCCAGCCCCGCCCCTGGGTGGCCCCAGGCCGTACCTGGTGGTCCAACATGAGCAGCAGGGTGCACTTCACGTTGACATCCCCGGGACGCTTCACCTGGAATCCGTCGGTCTCCTGGGTCGTGGGCATCCGGTGCCACTGCGAGGGACAATGGGGACACCGCTGAGAACAGGGCCTGGGAACCACCCTGCCAGCAGGGCTTGTGTCGGCAGAGCCGGGCTGGGGCTCCGGGCTGGCACAGCCTCCCAGCCTGGGGCACCCTGGCAGCTCCTGATCCCAAGGGGGCAGCTCAGAGCTCTCCCAGTCCATCCCATCCCGGGCTGTGCTCCAGCCCTGGGACGGACTGGGGCAGTTCCAGCCCCGAGTGCTTGGGGTGCAGGGCTCCCACAGCTCCCGGATCCATCCTGCAGGAATGTGCATCAGAGCTGCTCCCAGCTTCCCCTGGAAAGGGATTCAGCCTCTCCACAGAATCTCCCAGGGCAAAAGCATGAGCTGGGTGCAGGGAGAGCTCCAGGCAGGAGCACCCAAAAAGGTCTGATCTCCCCCAAGGACCCTCCAGCTCAGTGACAGGCAGGAGAGCAAACCCCTCTTCCCACAGGGCACGGAGGTAAGCCTCCTGTGGGATCAGCACCCCGTGGGGACCCTCTGTGCCAGTCTGGGGGGGCAGCTAAGCTGCCTCTGGGGCCACGTCCCTGCCCCACACCCCACAGCTCCAGCGCTGCCTCTGGACCTGGGCTGTGAGGGCTCGGAGCCGAGCTCTGCCAGGGGAGAAAAGGCAGCCCCAAAGCTGACCTGGGAAAGCAGGAATGTGGTCCCCAGGGAGGGCCTGGCACTGCCCCCAGCCCCAAAAACCTGCTCAGGCCCCTCTCCCAGCAGGACAGGCCCTGGCCTGGGAGCCCAGCATCCAGAGGGGCAGCAGCGGGGCCGTGCCCCCATTCCCCACGGGGATCCCCTCCCACCTCACCTCCACCAGGTGATTGTCCGGCCCGTAGAGCTCCTTGTCCAGCTCGATCACGAGGCTCTTGAAGAAGGAGGAGAACTTCCTCTTCTGCTTGCTGGGCTGCAGACAGGGCAGCAGAGATTCCTGATCCCAAATCCAGCCCCAGACCCCAGAGCGGGGCGGGTGCTGCCCCAGCTGAGCTCTCAGCACAGCAACAGTGCTCCCACACCTCCTCATCCCTCCTGGGTGATCCTGATGAACCAGCTCCTCCTCCCAGCTCTTCATCCCTCCTGGATGCTCCTCATGGACCAGCTCCTCCTCCCACCATCACTCCTTCCCTCCTGAGTCCCGATGGACCAGAGTTCCTCCCACCAGCACCTCATCCCTCCTGGATGACCCCATCCCCCCGGATCCCGACAGACCAGCTCCTCCCTCCCTGCCTCCCTCCCTCTGGATGCTCCTGATGGACCAGAGCTCCTCCTGCCCCCCCTCCAGCCCCGCTGGATCCTCACATCCTCCAGCAGTTTCCCCTCCACACGGAGCTCCCAGGAGGCCACACGCTCTCCCCCCTCTCCCTCCTCCTTGGCCGGGGTGAAGGTGTTGGAGATGTAAATCCTGAGCTTCCGCTTTTGCTGTGGAATGGGAAGAGAGAAAGGGATGGACGGAGTGAGAGGGGACTGCAGCACCCATCTCCATGCCAGCATGAGAGGAAACGGCCTCAGGGGAAGTTTAGCTCAGGTATTAGGGAACATTTATCCACAGAAAGGGCTGTAGAACATTGGAAAGGGCTGCCCTGGGCAGAGGTGGAATCCCACGTCCCTGAAGTGTCCCAGCAAGGTGTGGATATCCCACCTGGGGACACGGCTTAGGGTGATGGCTGGACTGGATGACCTCAGAGGATTTTTCCAACCTTAAGTTTCCCACGATTTCATGATTTCCAGCCCCCCTCCCAGTCCCCCAGCTCACTGTCAGGGGTTTCTTGATGGCCTCCTGGATCTCCATCCTCTTCCGAGCAATGGTTTGGTCCAGCTTGCGCTCGAAGGCCAGGAGGTCCATGTAGGCCTGGGACTCTGGGACCAGCTCCCGGATCTGGACACAGGAATGGTCAGTCCCAGGGTGCTGGCATGGGCTGGATCCCTCCCACAGCCTCAGCAGCCGAGAGACACCAGGTGACAAGTCCAGCATCCAATTTTTATTTTAAACCCAGCCTGGAGCCCTGCAAAGCTCTGCCCAAACCAGTCTGGAGCCTGTCGCTGTTCCCAGCAGCATTCCTGCACGGAACGGAACCCTGGAATCTCAAAAGTGACCCTTAGGGACCTCCTGAGGTCTCCATCCCACCCCATTC